TGAACAATTTTACGTCAATATTTAGGAGAGAGATTGGCCTATAGCTGCTGCAGAGTTCCGGGTCCTTTCCCGGTTAAGGGAGGATGGTTATGGTTGCCGCCAGTGTGTCGTCGTGGAACTTGGTCTCCCGAGCGTTTAGCGAGGTGTTGGATGGAGAGGGCTCGGAGTGTGCTATTGCGGGCTTCCCTGCCTGGGACAAAGCCTGTTTGATCCATATGGACCAGTCTCGGGAGGAACAGATTTAGGCCGACTTGACAGTACCTTGGTAAACAATTTTACGTCAATATTTAGGAGAGAGATTGACCTATAGCTGCTGCAGAGTTCCGGGTCCTTTCCCGGTTAAGGGAGGATGGTTATGGTTGCCGCCAGTGTGTCGTCGTGGAACTTGTTCCCCGTCGTGAGTACATTCATTGCCTTGGTTAGTTTAGGGATCAGCATGTCACCAAACTTTTTATAGTATTCGAGTGTGAACCCGTCTGGTCCAGGGGCTTTGCCCGTCTTTGCTGTCTTGATTGCCGCCCTTAGTTCATCTTCTGTAATGGGAGCATCCATAATTTCAGCTTCTTCTCGGGTTATCATTTTAGTGGGGTGTTGTGTGAGGTATTGGTGTATCGCCGTCATCTTGGCGTGCGGTGGAGTAGTGGGGAGCTGTTGTTGCAGGTTATATAGTTTTGCATAGTAGGTGCGAAAGTCGTTCGCTATAGTTTCCGGGTGTTGTGTTGTTCGCCCTCCATCTTGTTTCAGTTTATGGACCTGGGCGTGTGCTTGCTGTCCTCTGAGCATGCGAGCTAGAAGTTTGCCTCCCTTGTTCGTATGGGTGTAGTAAAAGGCCTTCGATCTTTGTAATTGCCGGCAGTGTTTCTTTACCAGTAGTGCCTGTAGCTGGCTCCTGAGTCCCACTAGTTTTATGTATGTGTCCACCGAGAGTGTTCTTTTGTGACGTTCCTCTATTTCCCCTATTCCGTCAAGGAGGTCTGCCATCTGTTGCTGGGCTTCCATTTTTTCTTTGTCGCCAGTTGGATTATCAGACCTCTCAGGACGCATTTATGGGCCTCCCAGACCGTGGTATCAGAGATCTCCTCCGTTACATTGGTTAAGAAGTAGGACTCCAGAGCTTGCGAGTTCCAGTCTCTAATCCCCATGTCCAGCAATAAGGAGTCGTTTAGTCTCCAGGTCATCACTTTAGGTCTCATCAGTGGAGAGTCCATTTCCATTGTTACCGTTCCGTGATCGGACCACGTGACCACTTCGATGGCTGACCCCCTTAGCGCGGGAATTGCTCCTGTTGAAGGAATATGAAATGTATTCTCAAGTATCTCACGTGGGCCTTTGAATAGTGTGTGTAGTCTTTTGTCGTGGGGTGCAAGGCTCTCCAGTAGTCCACTAGCCTCAGGCATCTGAGAGCCCTCAGTATGCCTCGGGTGTCCCGTTGCGGGATGCTGCTTCGATCCGTGGAGGTGTCCAGCGAGGGGTCCAGGGGGACGTTGAAGTCGCCTCCCATTATGAGGGTGCCCTCTGTGAATTCGGTTAGAGAGGTTAGGGTTCTGCAGATGTATTGTGACTGGTTCCGGTTGGGGGCATAAATGGACGCCATGGTGTAGGTGCGTTTTGCTATCGTGCCTTTTAAGAAGATATGTTGTTCTTCCGGGTCCAGGACCCTGTCTGTTTCCGTGAATCCGAGCCTCGTGGCTAGGAGTATTGCTACCCCCGCCTTTTTGGAGGTTTGGTGATTGCTGAGATACATTTTACAGTATGTTCTCTCTCGGAGAGTTGGGACCACGTCCTCTCGGAAGTGCGTTTCCTGAAGAAGGGCTATTGAGATTTGTTTTCATCTGAGTTCCCAGAGTAGGTGGGTCCTGCGTTCCAGGATGTTCAGTCCTCTGCAGTTGTGGGTGAGTACGCGGAGTGGGCTAGTGCGGTACGCTCCTTCCCTCGCATGGAGGGGCCGCGGAGAGAGAGAGCCGCTCGGGCAGAGAGGGAAGCAGCCCGCCGCCCCAGATGCCATATCACGTGCGACCGCCAGCCTCCTGCGTCACAGTCTGCGTTCGGGTGGGCGAGGGGGCTCCTCCTACGTCTCGTGTCTCCCCCTGACCACTTGCGGTGCGGTATCTGTCCCAGGACCTCTGTGGAGGTGTATGTCGAGTGTGTTGAGGTGTGTTGGTCCTGCTGTACAATTGTTCACACAGATGAGGGTGGGGTGTGTGCCTGTTACCGTCTAGGCGGCCAGCTAGTGTGTCTTTTTCTTTTCTTTTTTAACTGTGTATATATATATATATATATATATATATATATATAGGTATACTTGATATACTTATTTTTATACAATTTTATTCCCATATTGTGTTTATGTATACATTGAGAATTGCTTACTTATTCATTCAGGGTATTATCTCCCATATCGCATATTTCTTCTATGTCCACTATACTATTTATGATCCTCTATTACTATACCCTGTGGCTATTACAACTTTTACAGTTGTATCTTTTGTAATGACTTCTCCTCCTAGATCTACTGATTATCTTTGGTGGTTCCCTAACCCTGTAACTTAATACGTACAAATTGACATTTTCCTTATTTATACCTTATTAGCGTCATCTGGGTTCCACCAACAGATCATCTTTTAGACCTCCTCTGTACTTTGTATATTTGTATATAGGAGGTGTAAATATTTATTTCCTTACTCACCTTTTTTCTGGAAACCACACCTCACAGGGTTAATCAATCTAATAACGTATAGTGTTCTGATACACGTCACTCATGACCTCACTAAACCCCGTTTTCATCTTCACTCACCTTCTAATGAGCACCATTTTTGTTTGTATATAAACTATTATGGTATCACTTATTTGTTGTCTTGATAAAAGTCCGGATGGACTGAAACGTCGACACTGACATACTGTGATTTTTTGATTGCTGAATAAAAGCATCTTTTTTACCACGACAAGTCCTACGAGTGCTCTCTACCAAGGTATTTTTATATGATTAGCCGGAGGTTGCACCGAGGCATGGACAAGACTGGGAGCATTTGAGTGTGAGACACAAGTGATGGTATATATATATTGTAACAGAGTGTTGGGGATGGTGGTCAGGGGTGTAAATCTGGCACCCAGACTTTTGCACAGCCACTATCCTGACGTGGGTAAGCACATGCAGCCCCAGGGAAAGTTAAGTTTAAATGTAGGTTTTTTTTCCTCTGTTGTTATTTGGGTCCATGGGGTGGAGTATTCGGAAGAGCAGGGTGGGCCGATTCTCCACCCACTGTCAGAGTGGTTGTGTATGAGTCCAGCCAAAGTTTTCCATAGAGTTCTGGCTCACTGCCTAACAAGGTCATTAGCCTCACCTGTAGGGGCTGTGAGCAGCTATATAACTGCAGTTAAAGCAGGGTGAAGTGAGGGAAGTGTTTTGGAGGAGAAAGAAGATTTGCTGTTCATTGTATCCTGTTACTTCACAACAACAGAAAATAAACAGGCCAGAGGCCTTTTTGAAACTGGACATTGTCTTGACCTGTGTACGGTGCTGCCTCCTATCGAGTCGCTGAGTGTGGGGTACCCCTATCGTTTCTGTAAGGCTATCATCTTGTGTGGTATATGCTCTAGCTTTAATTAGTGCAACAGTAACCTTGTACCTCCTATCATGCTTTCTGTCTGGTATTGGCAACAGGTGCTCAGATATTCTATACCAGAACGTTACTCATAGCTAACGTTACCTAATCAGAATACATATGTGTAAGCTGGGATGTACCAGTATCTGCTCAGAGTGAAATCAGCCCCATGTTAGGCGTCTTTGTGGAGGAGACACAGGATTTAGGGTCCTTTCGAATATAAGGCTCAAGTCCATCTCCGTTTTCCGGGTTTTGGTCTCTTTGTTGCCTCGTCCGGTCATTTCTTCCCCTCCCAACGCCTGCAATGTCCCCCTCGGTTCTTGCTTCCATCTAGGGGGGTGTCCCGATCCTACCCTCTGATAGGTGATAGGTGCTCTCGGTATCCCATACCCTCCCTCCCAAATGCTGTGCTAGTGGGGTGCCTGTACCTTAGGTTTTGGAGTATCTGCTGTCGGGGGAAGGTCGTGTGGCTCTCCGGGGACGTTGTATCCTTGTCTAGGTGGGGGTTTCTGGCAACGTGTAAGGCCTCTGGCATGCAGTTCAGGGTGTGCAGCCCCCTTGTCGAGTGGAGGGTCGGGGGGCCCAGTCCCCAATCGATCTGGTGCTTACTTACTCCTCAGGGTGGACTAATTCCGGTCTCCATCCAGGTCCCTCTGGGTCTCTGCCTCGTCGACGTGGTGGCCTCTGTGGCTGTGGTCTAAGCTCCAGATGGGTTTGAGGCACTTTTTAACCCCTTAAGGACACATGACATGTGTGACATGTCATACTTCCCTTTTATTCCAGAAGTTTGGTCCTCAAGGGGTTAAACGATTGAAGACTAGTGGAGAGTCTGATGGCTGTAGGCAGGCTATTCCAAAGGAAAGGAGCCATCCACGAGAAGTCCTGCAAGCATGAATTGGCCGTACAGGTGCGAGCAGCGGACAGGAGTACGTCATGGGCAGAGCAGAGAGACCGAGAAGGGGCATACCTGTGGATCAGTGAAGAAATATACGAGGGGCTAGAATTGTTCAATGCTTTATAGGTGTGGATTAGTACCTTGAATTGACTCCTAAAGGATACAGGAAGCGAATTTAAGGACTGGGAGAGGTGTGAGAGGAGCGACAGGAGAGAAAAATCCTATTATACCTGTCGCTGCATTTTGCTTTATTTTGGTGCTTTGCATGGCTTTCTTTTATGTGTAAATTCATAAATTGGTTTCCTATTGGTATATGTTGGTGTGCTGGTAATTTGTTACATAGTGGTATACATTGTATATTGGACACCTACATACCTTACAAATTATCTTTTGAACACGATCCCATGGAATCTTTGTGCAGTTCTAGATTAGTGATGTCGCGAACCGCTCGCGAACTTGCTGCGAACGGTTCGCCACGAATCATTTGTGGCGAACTCCGGTTAGCTGACACATCCCTGCCAATCTCCGGCAGACCCTCCCTCCAAGACCCTCCCACCTCCTGGACAGCATCCATGTTGAAGCTGCCTTCAACATGGATGCTGTCCAGGAAGTAGGAGGGTCTGGGAGGGAGGGTCTGCCGGAGATTGGCAGGGATGTGTCAGCTGACCGGAGTTCGCCACGAACCATGGCGAACCGTTCGCGGCAAGTTCGCGAGCGGTTCGCGACATCACTATTCTAGATACTATTGTACTAAAATCCTCCCTTGGCATAACAAGCACAGACATTATATATTCCTGCCTTATATGGGATATTATTAGATGAGTAGGTGTGCATTACTTTTTCTAATTTGTCATGCAAAAAAAATATTTCTAAAAAGCATAAACAGGGAATTTTACTAGAAGCATCTAAAGTTTGCTACATTTCCCTTAGCGTTATTTTCTCAGTTAGTTTACAATGTCTACTTTAACCCCTTCAGTGCCAAGCAATTGTTGGTACAAAGCATATATTAAGTGTAACACTTAAAGCATGAGATGCAATGTTAAGTGTAGATCACTGCTCGGACAAACATAAAAATTAAAATTATACAATATTACATTCTTTTTATCCATGATCTTTTACTGTTTCTTACAGGGCATGAAATGTTGGTATAAAAGCAAAAATGCTTTTTTTTTTTCTTCTCTTTCTCACATACAAAAGGTGCAACAAAAATGAATTTAAATGATTAAAGGACCACTAGGGTCTCTAGGTTCCCCCCCACCCTCAGGGCCCCCCTCCCGCCGAGCTCTAGGGGGTGGAAGGGGTTAAATCTTACCTGTTTTCCCCCGCCGGGCTCCCTCAGCGCAGGGAACTTCCTCCTCCTTTTCGCCGTCATCGGCTGAATGCGCATTCGCGTCAAGAGCCGCGTGCATATTCAGCCAGTCCATAGGAAAGCATTCTCAATGCTTTCCTATGGATGCTGGCGTCTTCTCACTGTGAAAATCACAGTGAGAAGCGTGGAAGCGTCTCTAGAGGCTGTCAATGAGACAGCCACTAGAGGCTGGATTAACCCATAGGTAAACATAGCAGTTTCTCTGAATCTGCTATGTTTATAGAAGAAAGAGTTAATCCTAGATGGACCTGGCACCCAGACCACCTCATTAAGTTGAAGTGGTCTGGGTGCCCATAGTGGTCCTTTAAATGCATTGCTAGTAGGTATTTGTCAGTCAGGTCCCTGATGCCATTACCAGCAGTACAGCTTATTAAAAATGCAAAAGAATGTAAAAGGAATGACTGCTTGTGAGTATGTCTGACATGACAGAGCTCCTGTACTCTGACCGAGTATCTCCACCCAATCCGCTTCCTGACTGCTTGGAACACTTCTGCCCCAGTCAGCAAAGCTTGACTGGAGTCTCTCAGAAGCTCTTCCATCCTAGCAGGCTGCAGCCATCCTTTCAGGCAGGTGGTATCCCCTCTGCCTATTCCGCTGCAGCCCTTTTTCCAGGCAGGTATCTGGAATACTGCCTATAATGTGATTATAGCGATTGCCTAGGCTTAGGCCTAGCTCTTTTGATTTATACCAGGACTAGAAGGATCATGCAGCCAGCAAACAGGTCTGAGGACTCTATCGCTGGGATCCATAAAAAGCCACACAGGACACAAGTTCCAAAAGGAACTATCATGGAATACTTTGGAACTCGGGACTAGCCCATGTGATCATTGCACTTAGATTGCTGTGACAAACTTGATAAAATACAAATAACCAAAACATTTCAGAAAACAGGGCATTATAATAACATATTCATAAAGGAGTGGTGGGAAGCTATATTTAACACCAAATATCTAATTAGCAATATGCAAATTAAATGCAAAGCTATTCAGGTAGTGCATATTGTTGTTGCTACAAACAGAGGGTGCTATACAGTCTCCATAACCAAATCTACTTAGGTGGTAACAAGTATCCGTAGGGACAGGAGAGCACACAAACCAGTTAACAGTATACACACACATAAACACCCTGCACTTATAATGGGCACAGGGTGACTTAAACAAAGTAGACATTTAGGAGCCATTGTATAGTGCCCTGCTCCCAGTGATGGTGACTACATTCACAATGTCCATATACAATATATTCAACAATATATAGTACAGTTCAATCCTAGATGTTTAAGATGTATTTAGAAATGATTTATTTTATTTTTAGCAATCTATGTAATAAGAGGTATGTGTGATAACTCATTCTCTCTCGTCGCCCTTCTACTGTAAGGATAATATGAATTGAGGAATTTACCTTACTGTTTGGAGGGAAGGGAAGAGTGTAATTTAATTTATATTTTCTTTATGGTTTTGGTAGTAAAAGAGTTAAAGGATCACTATAGTGTCAGGAAAACATACTCGTTTTCCTGACACTATATAACCCTTAAGTCCCCCCTCCCCCACCCTCAGGGTCCCTCTCCCTTGGCGCTGAAAGGGTTAAAACCCTTTCAGTTACTTTAATCCAGTGCCGGGCTCCCTCGGCACTGGTGACCTCTCCTCCCCCGCCGACGTCAGCTCCCGAGTGGAGCGGAATGCACATGAGCGGCAAGAGCCGCGCGCTCCTTCAAACAGTCCATAGGAAAGCATTTCTCAATGCTTTTCTATGGACGTTCTGCACGCTGAAAGTGGTTTTCGCATCCAGCGTCGCAAAAGTGTCTCTAGCGGCTGTCAGGAAGACAGCCACTAGAGGTTGGATTAACCCTGCAATGTAAGCATAGCAGTTTCTCCGAAACTGCTATGTTTACATCCGAAGGGTTAAAACGTGGGGGGGACCTGGTTTGGGTGACTATGGTGTCCCTTTAATAAATGCTTCTCATTCCTTTGCCACTGTTTTTTTTTTTGTCATATTATGTGTGGGCTATTAAGACACCTATGCAAAACCTGAAAGTATTGTATTATTTTCTATATAGTGGCAACAGATTTTGTGGCGCTTTACAATAGGTGGATGAACAAACATCTAATTGTAACCAGGCAAGTTGGACACACAGGAACCGAGGGGTTGAGGGCCCTGCTCAATGAGCTTACATGCTAGAGGGAGTGGGGTAAAATGACACAAAAAGGTAAGGATAGCATTAGAGAAATAGATTGGTAGAATAGTATTCACTGAAGACTTAGTGTGTTTTTGTTTTTTTAATGACCGTTGTGCCTTGATAATTATTCATATACCAATGCCCTTGCTGTTGTATAAACCATGCCTCTGCATGACAAGTAGCACATTATATTTACATTTCTACTTCAAAACCATTCATTAGATTGTGCTGTTATTTTGATTCTCTACAAAAAAGGTACAAATATAAAGTTGGATCCATTTTAAAGGGACATTCCATGATTTCATCTATTGATTCCGTATGTCATATGTGTTTTGGTATGATTATTTTGTATTGTTTACCAATTGTATGGCACTGTGGAATACGTTGGCGTTATACATATTAATGTTGTTGAACTGCCAACTATTTTTAAGCTAGATTGCAAGTGTTAAACATCTAGTGCTTTGTATGCATTGTCATATACTCTCTATAGAGATGAGATAGGCCACAGTCACTAGGATACAGGTCAGATAATTGACTCACTTGAAATCTGTCAATCTTTATATTCACAAAGTGTATGGGGAAGAAATTAGACTTCACAGCCTTGCTTTGCTTAGGCCAGAGGTTCCCAATTAATTTTTTTGTGGAACTCTTTGACATAGTGTATCAACATCGTGGAACTCCACAATTCAATCCTACATGTTTAACCCCTTAACGCCGTTACAACTCTAGCCCCTCTTATCTCTCCCAACGCTCATTCAGTGTCTCTTTTTCTAATGATACCTCCTCCCCTCGCCCTGTCTCGGTTGGAGTCCCCCAAGGCTCCGTCCTTGGTCCCCTTCTATTTTCTCTTTACACTGCCTCTCTTGGCAAACTTATTACCTCATTTGGTTTCCGCTACCACCTGTACGCTGATGACACCCAGCTATATCTCTCCACCCCGGACCTCTCCCCTGCTGTCCTGCAACGTGTCACTGCTTGCCTTTCTTCCATCTCTGACTGGATGTCCTCCCGCTTTCTGAAACTCAATCTCTCAAAAACTGAGCTCCTTGTCTTTCCTCCTCCTAATACTGATCCTCCTCTCTCGCTCTCCCTTCAAGTTTGTGGTACCAACATCAGCCCATCCTTGCAAGCGCGCTGTCTTGGCGTCATACTTGACTCTGGTCTCACCTTTGAGCCTCACATCCAGCATGTTGCCAAATCCTGTAGATTCCATCTTAAAAACATAGCCCGCATCCGCCCCTTTCTTGCACCAGATACTACCAAGGAGCTTGTCCATGCTCTAATAATTTCACGCATGGATTATTGTAACCCTCTCCTGCTTGGTCTTCCCAAAAGCCGTACTGCACCCCTACAGTCTGTAATGAATGCTGCTGCTAGACTGATTTTCCTCTCTAGTCGGCTCTCTCATACCTCACCCCTCTGCCAGTCCTTACATTGGCTTCCTGTGTGCTATAGGAGTCAATTCAAGGCACTAACTCACACCTATAAAGCACTATAAAGCACTGAACAACTCTAGCCCCTCTTATATCTCCTCACTGATCCACAGGTATGTCCCTTCTCGGTCTCTCCGCTCTGCCCGTGACCACCTCCTGTCGTTTGTCCGCACCCGTACGGCCAACTCGCGCTTGCAGGACTTCTCGCGGGCGGCTCCCTTCCTATGGAATAGCCTGCCTACCGCCATCCGACTCTCCCCTAGTCTTGCATCTTTTAAGAAGTGCCTTAAAACCCATCTCTTTAGGAAAGCTTATGGCCTCCAAGACTAACCCCTACCTCACATACCCGCCTCTTGCCCTCTCCTAAAGGGCAGCCCACCTTATTTGATTGCACATTCCTATCCTAATGTGTTTTACACCCCACCTCCTATAGAATGTAAGCTCGATTGAGCAGGGTCCTCTTCAACCTATTGTTCCTGTAAGTTTATCTGTAATTGTCCTATTTATAGTTAAATCCCCTCTCATAATATTGTAAAGTGCTACGGAATCTGTTGGCGCTATATAAATGGCAATAATAATAATAATAATAATACAGATACACCTTGACACACAGATAAATACACACAGGCACACTGGCAGATACACTGACACACACACTCACTGACAGATACACACACTGGTGAATACA